ATCAAACTTGCTCCAAAAAAGATGATATAATTACGAAAATCGTTATGCTCGTAGCGTCGTTACTGTTAACTACAAGATATGGGCCTGACGCCGAGGTACCTCCAGGGCAAGCACATCTGCGGCTCATAAAGTGTTGAATGTCGGTGTCTGTCGTGTTGCCCTCAGATATTCAGGAAATGGAATGGAAAGCAATAATCAAGAATCCCCCAACCAAGTCAATATCAAGCCATTCTCAAAAAATACTCCCCATGTCGCATACTAAGACGGTTCGAGGTGTGCAACACTTAAAGCCATCCTACCAGCTCTATTGTAACTTCAAACCACACTTCAATCGGTGTTAGATTTGCGGGGCGTCTTTCGGGTACTCTTGTGCGCAACTTTCCAATGTTCCTGCGCCGTCAGGCCGTCCTTAAAGTATTGACGGTCTTCACACTTCTCACATCGAGCGTGCACTGTAGCAACGTGCTTCTCCATGTTCCAGTATCGAGGGAAGGTTGAATCGCAGCCAAGTTCGGTGCACCTAAACACCCGTCTTTCTTTTCTGGGTTGGCACACAGCCTCCTCGATATGGCGCATGAGGCCTTTTCTCAGCGAGAATCCGTTTCTGCATGTATCACAACGGAATGGACTGTTCTCATGCGGTGTGGAGAGTCCAAAGAAGGAACGCTTTTGTTGGCTTCGTCGTCGACGTGAAACAGGCGTATGGTCTCTAGGGTTCTTGTCGTATCCGTTGGTTGGATCAGAGCAGGAACGCGGAGGTGAGGACTGCGGAGGATGCTGAGAGCCGTAAGGCGAGACCTCATACGCATGGTCGGGGTCCATGTATTGGGACGTTGGATCGGTGGGAGGGGTCGAGGTAGCCATGGAGGACGGCGACATCAGGGACATTTCTTCTGGCTCGGTGTGAAATAGAGAATCGAAGGACGGTCCATTCCGGGTTAGGGATTCCAGGTCATAATTGGTGCAACGGCAACGGTTTATGTCTTCGTAACATTTCAAGCAGATGATGACTCCTGCCTCGTTCGTGGCGTAAGTTGGGTTGTGATCCATTGTTATTGTGGACGTGACAATGCGTGTAGTGAAAAGTGGCGATGCTGTGCGTGGATACTGCGAGCCAAATTGGCAACGATCGAATGGTGCGGTGTTGATCTGTGTTGAAGTTGTTCTTTGGACTCGACGTGGAATCGTGAAGAGTTGTCTCGAAAACGGCCCGACGTCAATCGTGTGTTGTTTGGGTGCAAGCCGTTGAAGACGTCGTCGAGTTGGTGTTGAGCATGTACGGCTTGGTGGTGTTGAGCATGTACGGCTTGGTGGTGTTGAGTATGTTTGGATTGGCGGTGTTGAGCATGTATGGATTGGTGGTATGCCAGAGAAGGTGTCGCAACGGATGGAAACGCCAGCCATTTGTATTTCGAAAGCATATCCTTGTGCCTCACGTCTCCTTCTGGAGGAGTCGCTTTCTTTTATACTTTCGTTGTCATGTAGGTCGAAGCTGGATGCTATCTTTAAATCACGGACTAGAGGAGCTACTTCATCATGAATGGATAGCGGCCGTGTCGGGTGATAGAGGAGCGCAACTCGGCCAATACCACTGGAGATAAAATCAGTAGAGGAGGCAGAGGTCTTGAAAGGAGATTGCACTAACCAACCTTGGATGAGATGTTTGACGTGGATGGTTAATACCCGTATGTCTCCTCTGGACGGGCCGAACCCTTCATCACCTCCTCAATCGGCATAATACCAAGACGAAGAGCTATAGCCGTGGCATACACGACACGTTACCATCCTATGTTGATTCGCCTGACTGTCGCGGAGTCGTTTCGCCGAATTGTGTAATCTTGTGGGAGCACGTCTGCCCAACGCGCTAAGCAAGATAGCGTTAAGACATCAGGGGGCAAAGTCTGGCCCGCACAGGCCGCTGAATATCTGACAATACACGCAGGCTCCGTTGTTTAGTCTGAAACTTTTTATTGTTTTTGTTTGCATGAGGCGATGACTGAGCGTCAGTGCTCAGTGTTACGAGTATGTCGAGCTCGGAAAGTAGCATGTACCACGTGTGGTTAAGATTGGACGTCATGATTGGGTCGGTGACTTCTGCGGGGCTCGTACTGTGGCATGTTAACTGTGGGTTGTGTCTTTGAGAGCAACGAGACTGACCAAGCGTAGTGCAGAAGAGTGGCTCGATGTAGCGACGTAAGCCAAGGAGTAGAGGATGCTTCAGAAAATCGGAATGCGGCTCAACTTCAGCTGAGATTCAGCGCATACGAACGAGCCTTCAGAGAACGAAATAACGACGAAGCCTCTGTCAGAAAGAGGGGAAGAGCCATCTCATATACCGCAAGGCAGCCTCTCGCTCGCAAATCGGCCACGCGCATCGTTCACACCGGATTACGGGACGCCTTCAGCACCCTGAGAAGCTCGTCGTGACCGGAACGATCGCTTAGTAGTTCCTGAGGCATGCATTCAGCCTCACAGCATGCACCATCCCCGTGGCCGCTGCCTTGTTAGAACACACTCTGAGAAATAGCAGTGGCAGATCTTCCGAACCTCTGAAGGTGAAGGGGAATGCTTCAGCGTGGCTCGAATATATTGTAATGGCCATCTGCTATGGTGGTCTCGCCTTCGACAACTCTTTCAAAATACTTTGCGCGAGAGGAAGCTTAGGAGGATTGCATCTGTGTGTGCGCATGTGCTACACCATACCCATGGCACCCACCTCGCTTGAACGACCCGGCTTCGGAAGGTCATATGCAAGGCTCTATCGATGGCTTGGGCCTCAGCCTTGTTGCAGCGATGACCTTCACCCTTCTGCCAACAAAACATGATCGAAAGTGCGCATTCTCTGGGGAGAAGGCTCTCAAATCGAAATTCGAAGGCAGCTTGTGCTCTCCGGATCTAGCTCAAGTAACAGTTTGGTAGATTGCGACGCAAGGCTGGTTCGGGACGATCTATCTCGCAAGGCTGGGCTCTGCGTGCGCACGCAATCACCACATGGGAAGGTGACCAGGGTATTGACGAACACGAACGCCTGGTCCGTGGGGGTGGAGAGCAACGAGACGTAAAAAAAAAATGCAGACTTTACGAACAGCAGCTTATATTTGGCTAGTTGGATGATGTGATATGAAAAGTAAGATAGCCCAATGAAATGCACTCCAGACTAGATACGTATCTTAGTACTCCTAAAGACTACCACGAGGCAGGTGGACGTATATAATCTTCTCTCCATCGTTATAGCTCTATACGGCGCAGAGGTAACTCATCATGCGAGGGTTTTACCTACTCTATTCCATGATAGTTATTGTGAGCGTCTCCAATAACCATCTGCGATCCATCTTCCCCCTACGCAATTCTCACAAGCTCGATTCATGCACCATAAGCCACTCTATTAAACAGCTTGGCTATATGCATTAATATTTTGATACATGAATTGTGGTATAACACAGCGGCTACATCGGACCATTGACTTCCGACATCATGATATTGTTTGCGCAGTCTTCAGTTCCCCCCTGTCCACTGGTAGGGGCAGTGGCAGGACACCTAAGTCCTTCACGCTGATACCTTTCCTTTAGTTATTCTTTAGATGGAGTGTTTACGCAACTTCATACGACTAGCAACGCTGCCACAGTATCCTTTGCAGCTTCGAAGTGCAAATCTAGAGTCGCTCCAGACACTAGCAGAGGAAAGAGGATAAAACTTGATTGACTGGGATTTTTCAATGGCGTGGCTTTCTCAGTAAACCATCCTATATTATGCTCATGCTCGCCTTGATGAGTTGATTGAGGAACTCATCACTTCCCAACTTCCTTCAAGCAGACGGTGTTGTCCGACTACTCGACACCAACAATAGTTCATGCGCTATCGACTTCCCCAACTAACATTTATTTTATGAAGGATTTCATTGAGAGATTCAGAAAACCATGAGTGACCAATGGAAAAGTGGTCACGGATCAGCGACGTTTTACCAATGGGAGGACCGAACATTCACATTCCAATTCAGCAGCTCCTCACCATGATTGGCGGATTTGCCCTTACAGCCCGTCGAGGTGCATGCGATTCGAAGATAACTGTCTCTATACTAGCGCATCTCTTCACTGATTGGTCGTCCTTGCGTTCCCGATCACAAGTTTGTTGGCTGCATATTAGGTCGAGAGCTCCGGATTGGTCTGCACTTATCGGAAAAAGATAATCTCGTCAATTTACATGCTCAAGATGCAAACCATACTATAAGTCTTAGTGCCGCCATACGGCTATTCAGCCAGACCTCCGTGCTTTTACCTGAGAATTGTGTTCGCTCTTCGGTAACCACTATCGTCTTCAAAAAGAAAAAAGGGGTATTTGGCCGGTGTCTTCCAGAGCGCAAAAACCCTGGAACCAGAAATTACAAGCACCGAAGCAAAATTCAGATCACGTCTCGTCAAGGAGATGCAAGTAGATGCAAGTCCTATTTAGAAGACTTGAACAGATGCAGGTACCAGACTTCTCGCAGAAAAATGTATCTCGCGAAATAACAAGTAAAAAAAAGGACTTAACTCTTCAAACATCGTTGATTCGTACTACACATATCCACCCTAGCAACCTCCATAAACAATCCGCTCACTCTTCTTGCACACTTCCCCACCATAGGTCTCTCAAACTGAATCATCGGCGGACTTCCGAGCGCCAGCCGAGCGGTAGATAAGAGTGAGAAGTATGCAAGCCATGCCCAAGACTTAACGGGCGATGAACTTCTCAAAAGTTCTGATAGATGCACTGCCTTTCATGATGCTGTACTCCTGTAAAACTGTTTCGGAAGTCCCTACTTCGGTGTTTCACCGGCCGTACCGTACCGTGGTACATCAGCCCAGCCTAACCCAACTTTGGGCCTAGCCGTCATCTCGCCTAACCTCCCCCCTCACAATTCCACTCACCGCTCTCCAGTTCCTCCTTACCGGTCACTCGAACAGCAAACAGATTTTACCTATATATATTTCCATAAGCAAATTACCTTCATCAAACAAGCGGGGCTTGTGGTTTAGTGGTATAATTTTCCCTTAGCATCTGATTGGTCTAATCAAGCCGGTCAATGACATGGGAAAGGTCCTGGGTTCGATTCCCAGCAAGTCCAAATTCTTTTGCCGTTTTGCTTGGGGGTGCGGATTGAGGGGACATACTGGAGAGTGCGAAAGTCGCGTGATCATATGGTGGCTGGGGAGTTTCTTTTTTTGCTGGGGGATGAGGACAATGGCAGAGTATGCCTCGCTCACTGCACGCGAGAGCGTCTTTGATATTATTAGAGGGAGGTGAGGTCGGTGTGTAATTCCTTCGTCCAGTGGGTTTTATGTGGCTGTGGTAGGTTTGGGCGTAGTGTTGTGGCTCACTGTTCTGGGGTATTTGGAAGGTACGTGTGGACAACATAATATTTGATAATATAAAGAGTATAAAAGTGTGCGCAACAACAGGTGAAAAAGCGGAGATCGAAAATATTTCTCTCTCCCATCCGAAATACCAGCACACCATCCATCGCACCCCGATACGCTCAGCAAGCTATCAATTACAAAGCAAGACCTGAAATGAAATCAAAGCATCTCCTGTAAGCCTTGTAGCGGAACATAGTCTTCGACGATTGATTGATCCAGAGAGGAAAAGCGTAATAAACCAAGCGGAAGCATTACACGCCATATCTACCTTACGTTAAGCGCTATAAGCCAGATAGAAACTTAACCCGTTTCCTAAGAACTTTCTTAACATATCCCAACTTTCACTGAGAATGATCGAGATAATACTACCAGGGATTGTAGCGATTCAACACACCCACTATAATCCAATAACACCCTCAGCCATCCATCACGCCCAACACCGCACAACTATACAACCTCCCCCCCCTCCGCTCTCACCCCTGCCAACATAAATCCCCATTCGCCATCTTCCCCCGATTCGGCCGTCCCCTATTCATAACCTTCGTCAAGTGCCGCCGTGATGTACTCCCTTCTTTCTCCCATCCCTGTGGCTGGCTACCAAGCTCGATAACGACTTCGCCAACTGCGTCTTTCCTCTCGCGCTCGATAAGTTGCTGCGTGGGGTCTGAAACGGGCGGGCGGCGGTCAGGAAGTTGATCGAGAAGTTGGGCGTTGGATTGCAGAGAGGTGAGGAGGGTTCGGGAATACGAGTGCGAATGGGAGAAGGAGTCGTAGGCTGTGGCGTACTCGGATACAGACTCATTGCTGTTAGCGTTGTTGGTGTCATTTTCGTTGCGGTGGGAGGAGTGCTGTTCGTCGACTACGTTTAGAGTATCGGTATCGTCGTCGTTGTCCTCGTGGGCTAGGTCTAAGAGCGTCGAGTTAGCAAAACATTACTCCGAAGTCCCGTGCGTTCCCAATGCCTTTGCGCACCGCGACTTTTCTAAATGCAAGCGAAAAAGCACGCGAGTCGACGGGCACACCCACCTTCCCCGCCCTTCCACCCACACTCACATCCAGCCCCGCAAACCCCCTGCTCCTCCACCTCCACCTCCTCCTCATCATCATCCCGTGCACAAGAATACACATCCCTGTACTTCGTAACGCCCGTGAGCCTACCCACGCGCATGTCCCCGTCAGCACAACAATAAATACCTAGGCTTCCTCCCCACATCCGTACTCACCAAGGCTCCTTCCCAATCCGCTCCATGTACACCTTCAGACTAGAGAGCCTATTCTCGCTTTCCGCAAGCGACTCCCGCAGATCCCTCACCTCTCGCTTGAGCTCATTGCACAGCCTCTGTTCATAGGGGCCGAGGGGTCCGTGGGTTGGTTTCTTCCTCGTTTCGATGCTGGTGTTGGTGCGAGGCATAATGCAGACGTGGGTGTGCGATGCGAAGCACAAAGCGATACCGAGTCGATTGTACTCAAAGATAACGTTGAGCGTTGAAGTACACCGAGGGAGGGGGAAAGAAGCATACCCTTATCACTGCATCGATTCGCTCAGCGTGAAAAAGGAACCACTGTTTGCAAAAACACGCATGTAATTCGCAGTCCCAACATACCGGCATGGAGAAGCGGGGGCGAATGTGGATCTCAACGTCCCAGCAGTACTTAAAAGGAACCAAACGACAAGAAGGAATTACATAGATGTCCGCAGTATCGAAACTGCCATCTTGTCATTGGCCGTGAAAGGCGCACTACATACCAGATACTCGGGTCCAAAGGTTTCATCCACAATCATGAAGCCGGAGTAAAAAGGAGAAACCGCTGGATTTTGCCTGTCCAAAATCCGCAGGAAAAGAAAAGCCGCCCTAGTAGATAGGCGAACCTCAGATGCAAACCACAGAAGAACACGGAAGATCTATAAGCCCCACCTGAAAAGAAAAGGCGTTCTTGTTGTCCAAGTACGGTAGAAGTGAATCTCGTCTATCCCGCACCTCATTATGTCATGTCTCGTACGACTTGGATGCAAAATCAAAAAAGAGAGAAAAACACACGACCATCTATGCCGACGCGCTTTGTTCAGTGAAACGGATTAGGCTTGCTCGGGCTCTTCGCTGCGCGGCTTGTACATGATGGTCGTGAGAAACTATATCTAAGTCAGACAAACGCTACCATGCAAGTGTTGGATTGACGGACCTTTTGTTTGTACCGCGTGGTGGCGCTAGTGGCGAGGATGTTATCCTTGATGCTGCTCGTCGCCAGATGGTTCAATACGGTGTGGTTTGGCATGATCAACACACTGCTATCGTCCTTCATCGGCGTGACTCCATTCAGAATGCTTTTGTTCAAGAACAAAGGAAGGCTCGGCGCGTTAGGCATCATATGACAAACCGCAGTTGCACGCGCATACCGTCTCGACTCCTCAGGTTCATCCAAATCCAGTAGATAGCGTGGGATTTCGTTGTGGTACTTCTTCGGGGATGGTGGTGGAATTTTCGCTTTCGGTTCCGGCACGGGCTTCTTGATAGGCTTGATTTCCGGCGTTGTTGGAAGGACTTGCGGCGGGCGATAGCCGTCTGGAGGGCGCTGTTCTAGCACGGGAATGGGCTCCGTCTTCTTTTCCGCGAGTTCGGGTTGAGCCTTTACCTCGGGTGACGGCTTCAGCACTTCGATGTAGTTGACCAGGATATTGGTGTAGTCTACCGCCGTCGGGAGCTTGTCGGATGTCCGCATGTCGTTGTCGACGATGAACATGAGATGGTGAGTGCCTGGCGAGATGTGCACATAGGCGGAGAGAGCATCTTTCTTTTTGCTCGGACCACTACAAGAAAGGCATGTCAGTATTGCATATGCAAGCCTCAGGCAACCGCCTTGTATTGATTGAGCAGGTCTCAACGGCACTGCATGAAACAGCAGCCACACGGGTAGTTGCAGCGTACTTACTTTCGATTCAACCGGAATTTGCGGTTCCAGCCTGCAAATGTGCCCGTGACATAGACGCGCTCGCCGGGCCCTTCCCACTCGACCAGCGTAGGGACAGCATCCTCTCCCTGCGATTCTTTGTATTCGTCGTCTAGGTCGTCCTCGTCGGCGGTCGTGGTGCTGAGCATCGACAAGCGGCGTGGAAGGGCGGCCTCCACGTCGCCATGATCGATTATAGTGCTCCCGCCATCTGCCGCCGAGATGATGGGTGAGCCCGGTAGGAAGGGTTCCTGCTCGATGGGCAGCGGCAGGCGGGGCGGGCGGCTGTAGTGGGATGAGGGCACAATGGGTTCATTGAGCGAGGCATCGGCGGGCTCGATCGACGACGCGGCCTCTGTCCGACTGACGTCTGCATCTTCGCGGGGGGCTGCAGGCACGTCGACGGGGCGGGTCTGCGGAGAGGGCGACGGCAGCGGCCTGCCCTTGGGCTGTTCGGAGGGCTTTGGCTTCGGCGGGGTCAGCGCCGACGGACGTGTCTGCTGCGACTGCGAGTGGGCGTGACCGTGACCCTTGGGGCGGCTCTGCTCGTTGCCCATCCTGTCGTCGGAGGTCGACTTGAAGTGGTCCTGGGCGGCGCGCAGGGTATTCGCAACGGCGGCGGTGGTGCTGGCGGCGATGGTTTGGCTCCTCGCGCGGGCGTGGGAGCGCGGGGACGAGGCGGCAGCGCTCTCGAGGCTGGCGGATGGCGGGGCAGCGCTCGCTTTGGCGGTGCTCAGGGCCTGTATCGACTCTCGCCGTCGCGGGTTGGGGCCGTGGTAGGCGTGGGCGTAGGCGTAGGCGTAGGCGGAGACGGAGGAGCGGTCATGGCTGTGGTGGGCAGCAGCATGTGATGAGGTCACGTTGGGTGACTGCGGGTTGCTACTGCTCGTGGGGGTCTGCGATCGGGAACTCTGTTGGTTGCCCATGCTCGCAGCGGGATGGCGCCAGGCTGCTCGTCAGGATCCAGCTGAAGTCCAAATGTTCCATCCAGGACGACTCTCGTTTCGCTATCGCAAGGCAGACGAGACTGACGTCGACGGAGCGGGACAGTCGGCCACAGCCTGCAGATTCCCCCAGATTCAGATTCGAGCTCCCTGCAGCGTGCACAGACCACTGTACCTCTCGCGGGGCGACATTGGGGGAAGACGACGAGGACGACGACGACGCTGGGCATTTCAATCCCGTATCAAGAAGAAGAGGGCTTTCATGTGCTCAGTCTACCGGTTACAACGCCTGTCTGTGCCAAAAGCAGCCATGGTCGGCTGACCGTTACTCGCCTCATCCCTTCCTCCTGCACGCCATCTGAGACTTGACGGGAGAGACACGTTAGCGTACGTCGGTACGAACTGTCTGGAAAACTTCCGATTGTATCACCGCTAACATACACTATGGAGCACATCTGAATCTGGATCTGGACCTGATGGCCGACGTTCGCACCATACTCTCCAACACTCTCTACGTCATATGGTGGCCCACCAGCAAAGCACTCAATGGCATCCGCTTCATACTATCACCTTTCTGGGCCCTGCTACAATTCATCTTCCTCCCACTCACGCACTTGATCCAAGCAATTCTCAGCATTGTGCTGCTGCCGTTCAGACTCGACATTCTCGAGCGCATTGAGGTACTGCAACCTTTGTCACTCGGGCTCTGCACATCTGAAGGAGGGCTATCGAAGCTTCCGTGCTAATGAAGGCCAGACCATCTACATCTGGCTGGGCATCGCCTCGGTGGTCGGGGCTGCCACTGGAGTCTTCATATT